TAATACTAATGATCCCCACGATCTGGATCCTGACGACGAGGCCCGCAGCGCGACGCCGGGGGTTGTCGTGAACACGTGGATTGAGGAGCTTCTCCTCCACCCGTCCGGTGAGGCTGCGAACGACGAGGAGGAGGAGGAAAGGGGGGGAAGGGGGGAGAGCTTCGAACGCAGCCCCGGCAGCTTCCACGCGCGCGAGCCCCCCTACCCTTCCCTGGATGTCCCCGCACCTCCCCAGGGGCTTTCCCCGCAATCCCGCGCGGGACGACCCGCTAAAACGAAATCCCAAGCCCAGTGGGAGACGCCTCGGATTCGCGGGGTGGGGGGGCCCGGCGCCGCCTCCACCGCGGCCGGAAGTTCGCGGGTGTTGACGATGACGCCGGTCTTGGGGACGCGCCCCGCGCCGGTGGTTCTGGCCCCTGGGAATCTGGACGAACCCAACGCGCGAGGAGGAAAGGGCGGTTCGAACTATCATTCCATCCCTCATGCGAGAGATCCCCCCAACGACGCCGGGGTTGAGGAGCCGCCGCCGCCGCTGCGGTTGTCGGAAAGCACCGCGGAGGCGGAGCGGCGGCGGCAGCGCCCTTTGGAAAAGGCCAAAGACGAGGTCAAACGCCCCTCCCCCGCGGCGTTGGAGGCGAACGCGATGGTGATGGCGTACCTTGAACATCACCTGCCGCCCTATTGGGAGGTGTTGGAGGGTTCGGATCATGAGGGCGCGCGCTGGTGTGGGGGAGGCCAGCTCGCGTGCGAAAAGGACGAGGAGGAAACCAATAAAGGAGTGGGCATGTCGTCCGAGAAGTCCTCGGCTCGTGTGGGGGTGTTCTGCCTCTTTGATATCAAGGAATGCCGATATCGTCTGCAGCGCATGGTGGATTTTGTAAACGCCTACCGACAGGAAAAGGCACGGCTGCTCGCGCTGGCGGAAGGGGAAGGGGGAAAGGCCAGGCTGAAGATGCTCTTGGCGTCGACCCTGCCGAAACCTACCAAACCCATTCGTGGTCAAAGGCCATCCACGGGGAAACGACGTGGAGCTTATCCCACAGCAGCCTTGGAGGCTGGCGAGGGGAATTCGCGCAAACTCGATGAGCTTACCTTGCCTTCCCCGACAACGTCGAAAGCAATACGGCCGCCGCTGCAGATATCCCAATCCACCCCGACGCGAGCGGAGGAGGGGTCGGAAAAACATTCTCTGAGCTTATCCCCGCTCGTCCTCCCGCACCCCAATTCGGGCGAGGACGAAAGGAAAACGCCCAACCGCCGCCCCCATCGCGGCCTCGCCGATGAGGAGACCTCGCACTCATCGACCGAAATGATCGGGGGGAAGCGGCGGCGTAGGAAAGGAGGAAGTGGGGGCGGGGGATCCCCTCCGCACGCCGTCCGGCGATCGCCGCCGAAGTCGTCGGAGCTCCGCGCGCGCGCCGCTCGCAGTACATCAGCGGCCTCGGAAAGCAATAGCAATGATACCAACGGCCATCATGGGGATGAGGGGGAGCCCCTTCCGAATAACCACCACCCCTCGCGACGGAAGGGCGACGCACCGCTGAATTTTGCGCTGCCGCCCTCGACGGCGGAGGGCAACGGCCCACGAAGCAGCAGCGAAAGAAAACAAACGGGATCCGCCACGCCAGGAAGCGACCTCAGCGAAAATGACGACGACGACGACGAACCGCCGGTGTTTTCCGATAAGGAAAACGAAGAGGATGCCATGGAAGGGAGGACCGGGACTCCCCACGGGATCGCCAAAGGCAGCCCCCAGCGGCATTTTCGCGAAAAGCAGAAAAAGTCCGGCCGGTGGCGCCGGCGGTGGGAAAAGCGGATGGCGAATCAGATGGAGTGCAAACGCGCCCGCTACGACGACGTTAATGATAACAACATCGACGGGGTCGCGGAGGAGCCCACCGAGAGCTCCACGACAGCTCCGTGAGTTGCCAAACGGCAGCGCTACGTGAGGCCCCCACCTTGACAACGATAGCAGCTAAAGTAATTTAAACTTTACAAGGCGCGACTCGACGACCCCCCAACGTATTTTCTTCTTCAGTTGTCTTCGCTAAATGAATCACCCCGTGAAACGTATCAAAATGAAATCAGATGAAAGCAAAAATATATATATAGGGAGAGGAACTTCTTCCATGGTTGATTTGCACATTTTTTTTCCCTATTACATCTGCTAAATAATAAAAAACTTATCTATATGCTATACATACAAATATAGATAGATAGATATTCCAAGAACCATCATTGTGGATTTCCAGTATAACTGGGTGAACAAGCTACAACGAGATAGGGGGGAAAGCAGCCATGCTACAGGGTGTGACTTTTGCCTATGAGGTATTGTGAAGAAGAGAGAGGGGGGGGGGGGAGGGGCGATTTCTCAAGGAACATCTCCAAACACGAAAGAAACACATGAGTAAAGACAAAACTAATATTAATCAATTAGGGTTGCTTAGCAACGTCGCTAAACAATCTTAAGGTGAGGGAACGAAACCTGGAGGAAGCCCTGCACGTGGAGAAGGAAAGATG